AATCTGACATCCTCCAGCTCAGGAAGCGCATATGATTACGCACAAGCGTGACGCGTCAACCCGGTCTCACAGTAAGACCGGGTTGACCTGTTCAGGTTTACGCAGACAATCTTTACATTTGGAATTAGCATACAGATGTAAAATTAATGCAGTAAAATATAAAGCTTTTTATTTAAATATTCATTCATTATTTTATAAGCACAGAGAGCCGCATCAGATGGATGGAAGAGCCGCATGCGGCTACAGAGCCGCCGACCCCTGTGCTAGCCTACTTTATTGTCCCCAGCAATTTTTAAACCCCACTCAAGTGTATGGTTATTGTCCCCAGCAATTCTGAAAACAAACTGACGCCCTTGTAAGACACTGTCCAAAATAGACGATAGAATAGCAATCCCTATTGAAAAATGGGAGGTGGATCTATCAGTCAGCTTTGACCAGAACTTCTGGTCCCAAACTTGTTTAAAAACTTTTAAAATGATCAGACACCCCAATTTACAATTAATTCAGTACAAAGTTCTACACAGAGTACACTATACAGGTCATCGGATGTTCAAGATGGGGTTTGTGTCGTCTGACATCTGTACACACTGCACAAACAACATTCCTGACAATTACGTTCATGCACTGTGGTCCTGTCCACCTGTCCAGGAATTTTGGGGTAGAGTATGTGAAGACCTGTCAAAGTCTCTGAAATGTCATATCCCAATCACCCCCTCTCTTTGTTTACTGGGAAACCTGGATGATGTCCCGATTGAAAAATCTTTGGTTCACGTGGTTCTGACTGCCATATGCATCGCTAAGAAAACTATCCTCATGAATTGGAAAAATAGAGAAAATCTCTGCATTAACCAGTATAGAAATCTTTTGTTAGATCATATTGCACTTGATTTAGCCTCTGCTTCCACTTCAAATAAATCTCTCTGGGCTCCTTTGATCGGTTCCATCACATAGCGGTGATGGGGGGCCGTTGATGATGTCCTGCGGGATGGTGTGGGTGGGGGGGTGGAGGGTCTGAGTTTGGAGTATCTGGATGTTCCCTGGGGATGGGTTCACTGGGGATGTCTGGCACTGGGGGGCCGTTCCCCCCCTCTGGAGGTGCTTGGGTTGCCTCGGGGGGTGTACTGCTGGCGGTTGTGAGTGGGGCCCCTTGGAGGTCTTGGTGGCGGCCATGGGTCACTGCCTGGCGGCTGCGTTGCCCCTGGGTGGGTCTGGGTGGGGGCCTGGGGGCTCGGGGTGTTGGGGTGGCCGGCCCCGTGTGGGGATCTGGGCTGGGCCTTGGGGGTCGGGTCCCTACATGTACGCTGCCGGGAAGAAGGCAGGAATACGCAGAAGTACCTGGCCCGGGTTCTGGGGCGTAGGGCAGGCCCTGGCTCCTCTGTTGTCCCATCACAGGGGAGGGGGAGGTCCAGGAGGGGGAGGACCCAACCTTACCTGGATGTCTTATGTCTTATATATTCTGGAAGTTGTGCAAATGCAGGGATGGGCATAGATATTCTGCTGGGGTGGGGCTGGGTCGGCTCCCTCGGGCTCTGTGGGGCTCTGTGATGCTGCTGCTTTGGGCCCTGGCAGGATGGGCTGGGGTCTCCATGCCCTGGGCGGCGGTATGACAACGGAGGTGCCTATTGGGGTCAGTGGGGGAGCTGGCTCCCTGGAGGGCTAAGCCCTACCAGCCATTCCTCCCCATCCCCGTTTATTTCTCTCCTCCTGCTCCCTCACATCATCACACAAACATGCACATAGGACCTTGGGGGGTGGACAAGTCGGGGAGTGTGGGTATGGACCCCATTTCCGCATTCCTGTGGCTTCCCGCCCCCCAATTTTATTTGCACCTTATGCACTTCCACCGACGACATTCCACGCAAACATACACTTAGGGCCTTGGGAGTGAGCACATTCAACGGCACTTGGCAGGGGGAGTTCTCAGCCTCCTCCCGAGTGCCGGTGCCCACTTCGAATTTTAAACTGCATTTAGACACCAAGGGCTGTGGGTGCAAGTAGGGTGGTGCAGTGGCATCAGCTGGCATAGGCCAGAAAATGCCCGCACTGCCCGCTCACCACAGCAATAGAATACACCTCATTAACACACAACACTATGTTGGAGCAGGTGGAGGGAGACCAGGGGGTCTTAGCACACCTCTGTTGTTGCTTGGCTGCCTGGGGCTGGAGACTAGGAGGGAGATCTGGCCGTCTGGTTGGGGTCTGGGGTGGTGGGTTGCTGTGCTCGGCGGTGGGCGGGGGAGCCTGCTCATCAGCACCCCAGCAGAAAGGGTCAAACTCTGGTAACCGGTGGTGGTTGTACCCCATGTGCAGCATTACCGGGACCAGAGTGAATAGGGTGTGTATGGGGAGCATGAATGGGTGTCCGGCGTGTATTTTTGTAAGTCTTTGGTTGTATGTGCATGTGTGAGCATGAGGGAGGGAGTGTGTGACTGTGTTTGTGTATGACTGTATATGTCAGGTGGGGCCTTTGACTCCTCCCTTCTCCTGGGACCTCCTTTGATGATATAGATCTTCGTCTCCCCTCCCCCCTGTCACACCTGGTGTGGGTGTGATGCCTTGGTCTGCCTGAGTGTTCGTGGATCCCGGGTCAGGGAGTTTAAGATTTTTGGCATCTGCCTGATCAATCCCGGTGGCGGCCTGGGGGGGTCTGGGTCCCTGGGCTCTGCTGGGTCCCCGGTGGGGGTGGTCGCCCCTGGGTCCCGGGTCACTGGGTCCCGGACTCGGCCGGCTAGGGGGTGGGAGGCTGCGGGCAGGCCTGAGGACTTGCCGCTGATATCTCCCGGGGCTCTGCCGGCTGCTGGTTGTGGCCCCCCGGGGCGATCCTCTGTGCCTCTCGAGGGGGGCGGGGGCCTTTCTGGTTGCGGGCTCCTTGGGGTTCCTGTGTTCTGGGGCAGCGCCTGGATCTCTGGGACTTGGAGCTCCCCCCCGTCTCCTGCGCGTCTTTGGGGGGCGGATCTGTGGTCCCTCACACTCTCTGTTGGGCGCTCCTATAGATAAACCTTGCATGGACGGGCGCGTGTACACGCGCAGGTGCTCACATGGTGCTCTCATGGGTATGGGCTTGGGCACGTTCAACACATGTCTTGGGACTGTGGTGGGCACTCAATGCACTGTGGTATATTATCGTGTGACTGTTTAGTTAAACAATGATTGATTATGTATTTCTTCATCAGGTTGACGCAGTGATGGCTTGATTTTGTTATGTTGGTGTTGTGTCCCATTTTTTTGTTATGTTTTGCTTTTTTTCTCGTCTCGTTTTGCAGGTCTGGAAGCAGACTCTTGTTCATTGTTGTTTGTTTTTGTTGAATCCCCCCCCCACCTAACCCCCTCTCTCCCCACCTTTTCTCTTTTCCTTTCTCTTTCGCCTCTGTCTCCGTGTCTGGTCGAAATTACAAAGCATTCAAAAACAATAACAATAAAGTTTTAAATATCAGGTGCGACATTAAAAGCAGACTCTTTGATGCTCCACCTGAGACATTAAAAGCAGATGCTCTGATGCTCCACCTGAGAGTAAAACTGTAAGGCTTGTTACCAGCATTCAGACATCAATTCTGCTTGCTTCACAGCCAGACAGGACACGTTAAAAAAAAAAAAAAAAAAAAAAAAAAAGGTTTTAGAAAGGAAATAAAATGCAAATGAAAAAAAAAAAACAACGAAAGAAATACACCAGACTAGTTCAGACAAAAGCACTAAAATAAAAACACACACAGACACACACACGCACGCACACACACACACACACACACACACACACACACACACACACACACACACACAACACACACACACACACACACACACACACACACACACACACACACACACACACACACACACACACGATGAACAACTCAAAGACCCTGAGCTCAGGCTTAGTTTATCCTGAGTTCATCTGTGGTTAATTAAATTCAGGATCAATTCACCCCGAGCCCAAAATTAATTAATCAAGGTTTATTTTAATTTGTATGAGTCACTCCTTCATTCTGAAGTATTTAAAAAAAATCAGCAACCAAACAAAAATGTAACGCTTGTAAATGAATTTTATTTTGTAATTAAACTGATCCTCATTTCAGAATAAAAGTTCTGGATGTTCTATGTATACTGCTGATCTGTTTGAATCCAACTCTCCCCTGATCTTACACTTTAGTTTGTTCTGACAGATTTAATGTCCTGACTGGCAGAGCAAACCCAAACCAGGTCCAAACAAGTCTGAAGCATCCAAAACCAGCCGGCCGGGGTTCCCTTCATCAGCTGTTTCTGAACAGAACCTTTGTTCTGGTCCAAGTTCTGAGAGGATTAACAATCCGTGAGCTTCATCACACATTAATTACTGAGTCCTGACCAGAACTCTGACCCAAACCTCCTCGCATTACAGGTCCGAGTCAGTCCGGGTGATAGAACAGAACACTCTGGTTTCAGGTAAACATTTTAATTATTGATTTATTTTGTAATCTTTTGGGTCTCTGGAGACTTTGATGACCTAATGATTACATTTCAACGCTAAACACGTCGTCTTTATGTTCACTTTTAAACAAAAACCTTAAATCTGGATCCAACCGGATCTGCTGGAAGTTTGTGCTGTTTAGAAACAAATTTAGGAATCATCTAGCATTTTTGCAGAGAAAGACATCATTTTCTCTAGTTTTTTAAATGTGCTTTTGTTTTCCAACCTTTGTCCAACCAGAACGGGATGAGAACCAGCAGCCTGATGGTTCCCATCGTGCAGGAGATGGTGGGAGTGATGCCAGATGACTGGATTTCTGCACCATTTTCTCTACAACACCAGAAAGCAGCTTAAACCCAGAAAACGCCAGAATAATGCAGAAGGTGTGCGTGGAGACTGGAGGTGGGAATGAATGACTCGGTTTTGGTAAAAACATGTTCATGATGATCAGAAGCAGAAAAAGAACCGCATGGAGCCGACACTCCCGCTGAAGAGGCACCAGAACATTCTCACTCCAACATCGGGAGGCGGCTCACCTCAGCGGGCCAACGCTCACCTGGTCTCAGTGGACAGGAAGCAGCAGGGCGAGGTCCATTGTCTCTCTGCGGGAGATTCAGAAGGTCCGATCTAATGATCCGGATGAGATGAAGGAAAGGAAATTGTAAGGAAGCCACTGGAAAATGTTTTAGAGGAGACGGGATCCTGATCGTCTTCTGTGAGTGAGACGTTTGGTTTGTGGAGATGCAGAGTCGCTGCAGCAGCTTCAGCACTGCATGGAGGAGAGAGGGAGGAGTGTGTGTGTGTGTGTGTGTGTGTGTGTGTGTGTGTGTGTGTGTGTGTGTGTGTGTGTGTGTGTGTGTGTGTGTGTGTGTGTGTGTGTGTGTGTGTGTGTGTGTGTGTGTGTGTGTGTGTGTGTGTGTGTGTGTGTGTGTGTGTGTGTGTGTGTGTGTGTGTGTGTGTGTGTGTGTGTGCGTGCGTGCGTGCGTGTGTGTGTGAATGCAGTTCTTTCTTCATCTGAGAATCAAGTTGATGAAAAGCACATAATGATGGGGCTTTCAAAATAAGAGCCTGTGCAGCAGCAGCTGACTGGGTAGAGCTCATCTGGGCTGAAGATGTGGAGTAGGCCAGGCATCAGTCTGCGATAATGAAAAGATCCAGAACATGAGAAATACAGACGAAGGTACCATGATGTAGCAGAATCTAAGCCTTTAGTGTCCACAGCAAGAAAAAACACAAAAGTACAAAAACTATTTTACTTTTTTATTATTCTGCAGCAGTGAGTTGTAATAATCTTCTTATTCTTCATAGTAGTAATAGTAATTTAATAACAACATGCATTAATATCGATAGAAATGAATAGGGAATAGTTTTTAATTCAAGCATTTCCATATTTTTATTACTTTTTTTCTACTTTATTCCAGTGTTTCAATAACTTTGGGACTAAAAATGTTCAAACAGCTGAGATGCAGATAAAAACATTTTGGGAACAAGCAGCTCGGTGAAGAATAAAGGGAGATGACCTTGCAGGCAGTAAATCATACATACTTATATAAGATTTATATAAAAAATTCTGCAGAACCACATGAAACCCATTAGAGCCTTTAGTTGATGCTTGTTTCCCGCGGCAATTCAACTTAACAATTCAAGAGTGTCATATTTTATTATTTTTAAAAGTTTATTTTTGAAAGTAAGGAAGACAGATCTATGTGAGAAGGAAATGCTCTGGAGGCAAACTGAAGCGGATGTCACAGAGCTCGGTGCGATCAGAGAACCAGCGGAATGTGGATATTAAACACTAGATTCCCAAATGTTTGTCCGGGGTCGGGTCGCGGGGGCAGTAGCCTAAGAGAGGACCTGACTTCCATCTCCCCAGCTACTTGGTTCAGCCCATCTGGAGAAAACCCAAAATGTTTCTGCCAGCTGAGAGACATAGCGCCTCCTTTCCTGGGTCGTCCTTTAGGTCTCCTCCCGGTTGGACGTGCCTGGAAAACCTCACCAGGGAGGCGTCCAGGAGGCATCCTTCCTAACCAGATGCTCAAGCCACCTCAACTGGCTCGACTCGATGTGGAGGAGCAGCGGGTCTACTCCGAGCTCCTCCTGAATGACTCACCCTATCTCTAAGGGAGAGCCCAGCCACCCTGCAGAGAAAACTCATTTCAGCCGCTTGTATCCGTGATCTCGTTCTTTCGGTCACTACCCAAAGCTCATGACCATAGGTGAGGGTAGGAACGTAGATCGAGAGCTTTACCTTCTGACTCAGCTCTCTTCACCACGACAGACCGGTACAACGCCCGCATCACTGCAGACTCAGCACCAATCCACCTATCGATCTCACGCTCCAGTTTCCCCTCACTCCTGAACAAGACCCCGAGATACTTAAACTCCTCCACTTGGAGGACCGGCTTGTCCCTAAACAGGGACAGCCTACAAAATAAATAAATAAAATAAAATAAAAGAAACAGGCAGAAAATGCTGAAATAAAATCTCCAGTGGACTTGGGGAGACAGGTGGAAGTTTCCAGAGTCGTCACTACAATGTTCAGACCAAATGTAGATTTAACTTCTACTGTGTGCAGGTTTTGCTCATGGACCTCACAGTCCCCTGGGAAGGGCGGGTCGAGGAGGCCAATGACTGGAAAAAGGCAAAATTCCAGGAGCTCATTGATATCAGCAGAGGGAAAGGGTGGAAGGCCCTTTATTGATGTTGGCTGCAGGGGATTCCTGCGCTGCACTGAAACTTCTCAGGATTAGAGGGCTGCAGGAGAGGAGAGCCACTAAAGAAATCAGTGAAGTGGCAGAAAAAACATCCAGGTGGCTGTGGACCAAAAAGGGTGATCCGAGGTATTGCGTGGTGTTCGGACACAAGCTGGGGACGGATTACCCCCGGCTGGGTCACCCAGGTGAGTGTGTCTGAAGATCAGTGACCTGAACCACCTGATGAACCTGGGTGCTGCACTGACCATGTATCCAAGCTGCCCATCTACCTACATGGTGTATTGTTGAACTTGTCAGAAGCCAAATATTTGACATTTCTATCTCTAGCTTTGATCCTCCATTAAACGTTCATTCACACGATGCAGACTGACTGATCCCAGCAGGATTATCAGCAGCTCAGAGGATTGATTCTTACATTTAGAAGCAGGACTGCCGTAAAACAACAAGCTTAGTTTCATTAAGAGCCTGAGTGGAAAAAATAACTCGTCAGTACCTCGGCTAATTAATTATTCAGAAAAATAAAACACAAAATCAGTTTGATTTTCTTCTGGAAGGTGTTCTTTCAAAATAATGTTTTTTAATGAAAAGCATACATCAGAAACACATCAAATGTTTACATTTCTGTACAGCATTGCTTTCCAATTTTCTTCAATAAATTTAATTAAACATCATATCTTTTACCTGCTGCAGTGTTGAATCATGCTGAATATTTTCTAGCTGTGGGGGAAATCCACTCAGAGTTCTAAATATCTATTTCTGACCACAAATCTCTTATTCTGAAAATGGAAGTGTTTCACTTGGACATTCTGATTATTTTATTTTGAAGGTTTAGAACTGTTTTGCCATTGATTTGCTGCCCTCTATTGGTTATCATGTGAAACTGCAACGCTGCCTTTGAAACCAGCTCCAGATGTTTGTTTCGGACTCCAGATGTGTTTTTTCCAAACTGAAGAGTATACTGAAAATCTAGAATACAGTGATGAATAAATATACTTTTTTTCTTTTGGACTTGAGTTAAGCCTAATATTTTCTCATCAGTCAGCAATTCCGTTTACATGAATGTAACATGTTTTAAACATTTATTTTATTTAATGTTTCCGTTATAGTCATTTTAAAATCCCACCTCTATTGCTGATCAACAATTACAAATTCAAACTGAGACACCCGATCAGGCTTCTGCTATGAAGCCACTCCATCTTCCAGGTGTTGTGCCAAAGTAATTACCCCTGTCAGAATCTGTGCCCCTGTGTCGGGCGCGCGTGCACAGATAAGACCTAAGCGAAGCTGTATTTGTTGTGTAAAAGTTTTTGTTTTTTGCCGTTTAGATTTTTGACTCACCGCAAAAACAACACCGGAAACTTCAGGACTCTTATTTTAAAGGGTTGACATCTAGGGAAGAAGCGTTTCCTGTTTAGTTCGGTTCCGTCGTTCCGGTGCTCGGTGTGTTGATGCTGCCGCGGCTGTTAGTGTTCCCAGCATCACCATGACCAAACTCCAGCTGCTGAACGCCTACCTGACGGAGCGGCTCACGGCGGTGGTGAAGGAGGTTCTGGACGTGGTGGAGGACACGGTGGCGGAGTACCGCGAGGAGACCGCCAGAACCAGGCGCGAGAACGAGAGCCTGAGGAGACAGCTGCGGGACATCCTGCTGCTGGAGGCCGAGACTGAATGGCTGAGTAAGGGCCGAGCGAGACGGTACTATCGCGAGATAGCGCCGTTCCAAACTGCGAAGAAAAATGTTGCCTTTTAAGTATTACGAGAGGTTTTACGGTCACATTTGGCTTAAATGTTCGATTTTAAATGTTGCGAGTTGCGACAATGAGCCATTTTTACATTCGGCATCTTTAAAACGAATTACTCTGTTCAGAATTATAGCACACGCAGATGTTTTTAGCGTTGTTCTGGAAACGTCCTCCTTTCCATCAGTCCGGTTTCGAAAAACCAGCTGATGCTTTTTTTTTTTATCAGAAAAACGTAGCAGGTCCTTGAGTCTCGGTGAGCTGTTGGCCGAATCGTTCTCTACAATGTTCTGGACAGGAAACGCTCTGCTCTGACCTGATTAGCTGAGTTTGTTAAAATAATACAAACATTTTTAAAAGGAAACAAAGGGAGTCTGTGCTGATCGGTCCTGAGAACCACTTCCCTTTCAGACATGAGACATTATCAGACTGACTCAGTCATATTCAGGCTGTCATATTCCAACCAGCCAAATCTTTATGACCACAGACGGCTCTGTCCAGTAGAGGAAGACCAGAACCATGTTGCTGCTGACCTTTAACCCCAACCCTTATTCTACTTCCATACGAAAGAGCTGTTACTCTATTATAAATTAATACAATCATGGACATGCACCAGATTATCACTGCTGACCTTGTTTTGGTGCACTTAGGGACTAAAATCAGATTTTCTTGTTTCAGACTGGCCAACCTCAGATTAAGTTGATAAGCTGACTGGACGACTGGTTTACCTGCAGTTTAACATCACTTTTCTGTTTTAGGGTCGACACAGTCAGGCCTTAATTTAGTAGCTCCAGAGCAGCGCTCAGGAGATCCAGACCCTAGGACCCTCCCAGAGGAGGCAGACTCCACCCTGAACCAGCCCAGACAGCCAGCAGTGAAGCAGCAGGTGGTTCCTTTGCAGCAGCTGCCACTTCTGAAGGAAACCCCGCTGGTGCCGATCCACCACCCTGAAGACGTAAAACCAGCAGATCTCTGGGAAACCGTACTAAAAGCGGACCCAACACGAACTTCACCGCCTGTGTCGCACGCCTCCCAAAATCCTCCCAAAGTCCACGCCGAGGTTCCGGTGCTGAGGGAGGAGCCACAGGCCTCTGCGCCGGCACAGATCAAAACCGAACACGAGGAGGTGAAGGAGGACGAGGGTCATGTGGAGTCTGTGACGACGAGTGCTCACATCTCAGTGGACGAGTCGGGCGTCTGCAGCGGAGTGGAGGCAGATGAAGCTGCACAGGAATCAGACCAGCAGGACACTCCCAGAACCAGGATGTCATCTGAGGAATCACTGCAGGCTGACGGCATCATGGCTGGCAGTTTCATCCCAGAACTCGTGCATCGCTGCCCACGCTGCGGCGATGCGTTTAGCCACGCCTCTGGCCTCACGCTCCACCTGGAGCAGAAGAGAAAGACCTACGCCTGCGACTGGTGTTGCAAGTCATTCGCTCAGTCAGCCGACCTGCGGCGCCACCTACGCACGCACACGGGTGAGCGGCCGCACCGCTGCACCTTTTGCTCCAAAAGCTTCAGCCAGAGAGGGAACCTGCGGCGCCACCTGCGCATCCACACAGGTGAGCGTCCATACAGCTGCCCCTTCTGCTGCCGGACCTTTAGCGATGGCGACACCATGAAGAAACACAAACGCACGCATTCAGGAGAGAAACCGTATCGCTGCGCACGCTGCTCTAGAACCTTCACTAATGCCAGCAGTCTGCAGCTGCACCTGAGGAAGGACATGTGCTTTGTAGGCAGCGCGTGATTGGCTGAGGCAGGACAGATGGGTCATGAGGTATCCCGTACACGTGACAGTTTTCAAACCAGACAAGGGTGAAGTTCTGAGATGTTCTCTAACTTGTTTTTCTGATCAGAACCACTGGCACCAAATGGGTTCATCATATAAAAAACTAGGATCAGTCCAGTCTAAAGCTACATTCCACCAGAGCAGGAGCAGGTGTGTCCTCTCTGGGCTTCTGTAACAACTAGTGTGTGTGTGTGTGTGTGTGTGTGGTTTGTGATGAAGACTCCTTCGTACCACTAAGCATCTTCACGGACTTCTGCAGGTCTTTCCTGGATGTGATGAACTTTACAGGAAGATTTATTTTTCTGTGAAGATGCCGTTTTTCTTTATTTGCACTTTTCAGTCTTCGCTGAAGCTCAAGTTTCATTTCTGTGTCCCGTTTGTGTCCATCTGCTGGTTTAGTTCAGAAAACAAAGGTTTTAGAAGGTTTCTCATACATACAAACACCAGAAAAACAAACTTAATCATGAATAAAAACACATTTGTTGGTGGATGCAGAAAGCTGTGGGTGGTGAGGTGGGTCTGACAAACTGGGTTTACTCACAAATGGGTTCTGGAGGAGTGAAATCTATTCTTGGGTCAGGTGTGGTTCCTGGGAGTTCTGATGGGATAAAAAAAAACTCACATCTGCTCCAGAGGTGGGGGTCCTCCTACCTAAAAAGGGGGACCACAGAGTGTGTTCCGACTACCAGCTCTAGACCCTTAGGGGGTCCTGGAGGGTGCGAGGGAGTTCGCCCAACCACGTTACGTGTTTTGTGGATTTGGAGAAGGCGTTGGACTGCGTCCCTCGAAGGGCCCTGTACTCTGGGACTATCATTCTCTGGCATGACTGGTGTCAGAGCTTGGTCCGCATTGCCGGCATCAAATCGTGCTCGTTCCCGGTGAGAGTAGGACTTCGAAAGAATGAAATTGCGGATTTCAGCTTCCAAAATGAGTTTTCTCCGCAGCGTGTCTGGGCTCTCCCTCAGAGATGGGATGAGAAGCTTGGTCATCCAGGAGGGGCTTGAAGTAGACCTGCTGCTCCTCCACATTAAGAGGAGCCAGTTGAGGTGGCTCAGGCATCTGGTCAGGATGCCTCCTGGACGCCTCCCTGGTGAGGTTTTCCAGGCACTTCCAACCGGGAGGAGACCCAAGGGAAGACCCAGGACACGGTGGAGGGACTATGTCTCTCACCTGGCCGGGGAACGCCTTAAGATTCCCCCGGAGGAGCTGGCCCGTGTGGCTGGGTAGAGGGAAGTCTGGGCCTCTCTGTTTAGGCTGCTGCCCCCGCGACCCGACTCCGGATAAGCAGAAGAAAATGGATGGATGGATCTTTTCCAGAGATCCTGCTGCTGAACCTCAAAGTCATCACGTGAAAATGAGAAATGTTTGTCTGGTCTGGAATGTTCAGTTTGTCAGACAACAGCGATGATGTCGCGACATTAGGGCATTGTTCGGTTCAAATGAAAACATGAACGATTCTGTTGTGTGAGGACTGGGTTAAAGTTAAAGCCCCATTAGTTGTCACACACACAGGTGTGTGTGTGACATTCGTCCTCCGCATTTGACCCATCCCCTGGGGGAGCGGTGAGCTGCAGACACGGCCGCGCTCGGGAACAATTTGGTGGTTTAACCCCCCAATCCAACCCCCTTAGTGCTGAGTGTCAAGCAGGGAGGCACTGGGTCCCATTTTTTTGAAAGTCTTTGGTATGACCCGACCAGGAATCGAACCCCGATCTCAGTCTCAGGGCGGACGCTTTACCACTAGGCCACTGAGAAAGGTGGATGGCAGTAACCCCTGAAGGGAAAAGAGAAAACCTTTCTGTGTGTGACAGAGACGAGGTGCAAAGCCAAGTCCTTCATCCAAAAGCTGAAACGACTTGTTCTGCGTACTCAGAAGAATTGAAGGAAATGTCAGAAATGGGATATAAAAAATAAAATATTTACTAAATTAACACATTAGAAACTGAATCATAATGAAACCAGCACGAATTCAGCGCCTCCATGTCTTGTGTTTGCAAACAGACTCAGCAGTATCAGCCTGTCAGAACTACCCACAATTCCCAGCGGTTTAAGATTCAGCGTGCATGAACCTCTTTTCAAATAAACTTCAACATGTATGTTTGAGACTCTTATTTTGAAGGAAGTTCATTGAGTTCTGCTGCAGCAGTAAATACTCAACTCCATATCCAGTAAAACATCTGGAACCACCAGGTTCTGCTCTTCAGACGCCACTGGAAACACTTTCAGATTTAGTTTAGACATTTCCTCTGCTAGCTTTTCCTACAAACGTTGCTCCAAACCGCTGTTGGTGGGAGAAACGGAGTCGCTTCAGAAGCTGAGATTTGTTTAAACTCCTGTTGTGATTGGCTGGACTCATCAGATTCTCTGTGACTCTTCAGAAACAGTCCAAATACGGGTGGTTCTGATCCAAACATGTTCTGATTCAAAACTCCAGAGTTGATCAAACTCTGATTTAATATAAAATAAATTACTTAAATCTGGATTTAATCCACTGTGAAGTGAATTTTTATACTTTGATGTTGTTTCTTCATGTTGCTCATTGATGCTAAATTTATTTCAAAATTGTTTGATAAAAAATCATAATTAAAATGAAACCAGTTAATTGGTTATTTTCAAATAAAAGCTTCAATATTTTATTTATCGATATTAAAAGTTGTGGTTCAGCTTTAATAGGATAGAAGCTGCAGTGGGTTAGAGCCAGGTCAGCTGTAAACATCGATGACTTTACAGGAGGTCAGAACAACACGTCACTGATTTAAATAAACCTGACCTGATTCCCTCTAAAGACGAGATTGTTTTCTTCCTGTGAATGTTAGTTAGGGTTAGGGTGAGTTCCTGTCTGAACCAGTAAATAAATACTTTCTGTAGCTTTAGTGGGATTTCAGTTACATCTCAGTTAATATTTATGACTTGACCTGAAGGACCATCTGACGGATGTAGAAGATTGTTTCAGCAGGTTTCATTTCTTTAGTCAGATGTCTGGCTCTGAAATCAGAACAATCTGTTTTGTTTTCATTAAACTTTTGTGGTTTTCTTCATGAATGGGTAGAAAGATGAAGTAGTGTGTGTGTGTGTGTGTGTGTGTGTGTGTGTGTGTGCGCGCGTGCGTGTGTGTGTGTGTGTGTGTGTGTTCCTGCAGAGGGCGGTGTGGTGCCGCTGCAGCCTGATAACAAATCCACTCCTCAGTCTGAGCTGCTTTCAGTTTTATTTGCCGAATTTTATTTATTTTATTTATAGCTTCTTCTGAAAAAACAGCCGATAGAAACATCAGAAGAGCTGGTAAAGACAAACACTTGGACATTCAGCCATGAAAACAATAGATAAATAAACAAACAGCAACAAGACGGGAAACCGAGCAGTCCCCCACCTGGACGTTTCATCAGTCAGACAGGAAATGGACCGGGAGGGGCTGCATCACGCAGCAACCAGAACCACGACATCATCTTCATCACCAGGAGGAGCTCAGGTTCCTCTCGGTCCAGAGAAATGTGATGAAAGCAGATTAAATCCAGCAGACTGGAGCAGGTCATGTTACACAGAAGCTGCTGAGGGTTCTGGTTCTGTTCTAGAAGTTTAGTTAAAGATGACCTGTTTAAGGTCCAAACATTTATGCATATGTGTATGAGTGTGTGCGTGTGTGTCTATGTGTGTGCGCTGTGCTGTCTTCTCACATCCGAGTGCGTCGTGGCGGATGGTGATTTGTTTGGCTACTGTATAAATAACAGGAACCGAACTGGTTCTGGATGATCCCATTCCTTCAGACCAGGGCCAGATTAACACTTCGTTGTACCCTGGGCAACAATATTCAAGGGCCCCATCATCACGACCCGAGGATCACCATAATATGGTCACGTACAGAATATTTTACTGTAATATGCAGTAAATATACTCAATACTTGAATGCCTGACATCACGTAACCCACTCAGGGTAACCTTTGACCCACCTCGTGTGGACTGACCAATGAGGAGAGGGTCTTAACTTGAGGCCCTCTCTTCATTGGTCAGTCTGCATGAGACCGACTCTCAACTGACGTTCAGTCATAGGCAGCGAAGCGTCTCTGTGCAGTGCAAAAGCCCGGGTGGACAGTTTGTTTAATGTAGGGTGACCATATTTCCATTTCCAAACAAGAGGACAGGGATCTGTGCCTATGACGTCACACTATGGCAACGCCACACAAACCATGTTGGGACCCATTTTTGTAAGAACTAAATTAATATCAGATTCTGCCAATAAAAGTACTCTAAAACTATTCATATGTAAATATTTAGCATATTTATTGCAAAATCTCATTTTTCTGCTTTAGTGCTGCAACAAGGTTTTATTAATAATAAATTATTATACCTTTTGTTTTACTACAGCATCGGTAAGCTTCCTGTGCACAGATTATTAAGGATGCTTGTTTCAACTGTGAGATTAGATGATAGGATCAATGAAAAAATAAGTTGCCCCACACTCCATGGAAACTTTCAGAGAATCCACAAATAGTGGCTTTCAAATGGTTTTGTTACTTTTTGCAAGTTTAGAAAAGCAGCAGATGAGACAGCATGTGTGATAATTTAGTTTTTCATCTGATAATATTAGAACATGTCAGTAATGTCTGAGGGGCTTTTATAAACACTGTATAACTAACACTCCTGGAGAGGGTATGGATTACACAGAGGCTTCTGGGGAGCCCAGTTATGGGGGTGGGGGGTGGTGGGGGGGTGGGGGGGTCATTTTGCCTTGGCCCCCAAAATGTCTTGAAACGGCCCTGGGTGTGTGACTGAGTTTTGAAGGTGATCTGAATTGTATCAGATGTATAAATATTACATGTGTATAACTTGTTGTTTTTTACTGGTAAAAACGTGTAGTGGAGATAAATCTGCCTACATTTTACTTTTACTTTTGTTTTGTTTTCTTGTTTTTATTGAACTATTTCCTGTCCTGTCTGTCTCTCATCTTCCTGCATCTCCTCTAAACTCTCCAGAAAATCTGCTGCCTGGATTCTTACTTTTTCACCTCATCAGTTACTTTTGAGCAGATCAAAGGGATCTCCTGACCGCAAAGCGGAGAGCGCGTTTCGATGCGTCAGTGAGGTGAAATAACTGCAGCACAGATGATGAGCTCCGCAGTAGCAGAGCGCTTCAGGCACAAATAAGACAGAAAGTAGAGATCATGTGCGGACATGAACGATCGTGTGTTCATTATAGTTTTTTGGTTACGCCACGTTGAGAATGGACTGTGCGCTGGACGCAGCAGCCTGGAGCGCTGTGCACCGATCATCGCTCTGCCGCTCTCTGCTGAAAAGAGTCAATGAATGATAATATAGTAATATATGTAGAAAACTTTTTTCCAGCTCCCCTGGATGTGTAGGATATACAGCTCCCCCATCCCTGCTCCTGGATGAAAAGTCGGACATTTTCATCAATACAAGAACCCGACGCCCAGACAGAGAGTGAAAAGTGGACATGTCCGGGGAAAACAGGACGTACGGTCACCCTAGTTTAATATAAAGCTTGAGATTACAGATACAGTAATTTGCTCGTGCCCTTGCTGCCCTGGGCAATTGCCCAGTTGCCCATATGGTTAATCCGGCCTTGCTTCAGACTACTGGAAGGTAATTCTCCTAGATCAGATGTTTAGATATCCTGCTGTGTGTGTGTGAACTGTGCTTGTCAGTCTGTCATTGAGGGACACGTGGAGTCTCAGACAAGTCCACATCTAAACAGATGACACACCAGACTCATTTAGGTACCAGCTCCTCACTTTGTCTTTCTGTTTGGAGCGAGCGGTTCTGTCTCACCATGCTGCCAGCTCTGGGCCTGCATCCAGGCTATGGACAGAATAATTAGTGAAATGATGGACTTGATATCAGAGAGCTACAGATGGTTCTGTTTGGATCTCCAGAACTCAGTGGTTTCATCTAAAACCCATCAGAAGAAGGTTCTAAATCAAACAAATCCGTTTGGCCTGGAGAACTAAAGCAGAAAGAGGTTCTGAAGCGAGTCTGAACCAGCGACCTGCTGTTGGGACTGGACTGGAACCAGAGCCTGGTTGTGTTCGTGTTGCTGAGGCCCTCTGCTTGCTGTGCTGCTGTGACCTGATCTTGGTGCTGTTGGGTCTTGTGGTTCGTGTTCTGATCCTGGCTGTGCTGTGGACTTCCAGCAGGGGGCAGCAGCAGGAGGACCTCAGACAGCAGATCAGTAAGCTCCTGTAAAGCCTCTCTTCTCTCTCCTGATGCAACATCCTCTCAGAGCTGCTTTCACCCTGAACATTTACATTCTGCAGAGTCAGAACTGCAGTTTCACAGAGTCGTTACACAACACCGGGTGAGCTCTGCAGCTCCCAGTTTCAGGAAGGAACACTCCGCACATCAAACATGACTTCAGGTTTGCATTAGAAGTGATTCACTTCAGCAGTCTGGCTCTTTGTGTTTCTGTTGTGATAAAATCCCGATTTTCTTTGAATCTCTTGGTTTCCTTTAAGCATTGCAGCAGGATCCTGTACAGCAGCTCCTCAGAGATAGACCTGGTCTGTCTGTGGCCCCTCCTGCTAACACAGACCTGGCCAGCCTCTGCTGAACATAGATGTGTAGAACATGCAGTAGGTCAATTATAACTGTCTATAAAGGCAACTTATATAAATAGATGCTGAAAATAAAGTTGTCATTTGGAGATAAACCTAGAATTCAAACCTACACCAGACCTACCGTACCAATAATGGCAAGGCAGCTTTATTTGTAAAGCACATTTCATACGCAGATGACAACATAATAACATAATGTGACAACACAATTAAAATAGACAAATTAATTCAGATCAAAATAAATCAGAAAAAAGACAAAGTTAAAGTTAAAGGATGAGCAGTTACAATGCAGAAGGTGCAGCACAAGAACATTCATTCAAAGGCTGATGAAAACATGAATTCAATTCAATTCAAAAATACTTTATTAATCCCAGAGGGAAATTGATTAAGGGTTTCAGTTTTGATTTAAAAGTTAGTAGATTTGGGGCCCATTTGAGGTAATTAGGAGGCTGATTCCATCTGTGTGCAGCATTGAATACAAAGCAGCTTCACCCTGTCTGGTTCTGACCCGGGGTTCTTCCTAAGGATCTCAGAGCTGTACTGGGATATACTGTAAGGAGATCTGACATGTAGTCTGGCCCCATGCCATGGATTGATCTATAAACTAGTAGAACTAGTAGAAGTAGTTACTGGTAGTTTACTGGTAACCAGTGTAGAGATTTAAGAACAGGAGTGATGTGTTCGGTTCTCCTGGTTCTTGTTAGGACTCCAGCAGCAGCGTTCTGAATAAGCTGCAGTAGTCCAGCCTGCTGGAGATGAATGCATGAATGAGTTTCTCTAGGTCCTGTCTGAACACGAGGCTTCTGAGTTGTGCTACGGACAAAAGCACGCTTCCTCCACCTTTTATATTTCATTGTGGGAACATGAAACAGCAAACCATTGGCAGATCTCAATGCTCGGTTTGGCACATAGCGAGTCACAAGCTCAGACCAATCAGGGCCTTTAAAAAAGATCAGAATTTTAAACTTCACTCTGAAGTCTACAGGTAGCCAGTGGGCCGTGCCAGCACTGGTGTGACATGGTCACGTTTAGACCTGGCTGCCCCGTTCTGCACCACCTGAAGCCTGTCAGGAGCAAAGGCTGGTACTCCAAACAAGATGGAATTCACGTAATCCAGTCGGGAGATGATGAAAGCATGGCACGGATTCCAGAGTTTCAGGATCGGTTTTAAGCAAACCAGTCGGGGCAGCTGGAAAAAACAAGATCTGATCACTGAATTA